AATGGTGGCCCTTTTTTTTTTTTTTTTTTTTTTTGTGACGACGAAAATCCCCTGTCACTCTTTGTTCTCTCCTCCTGTAATCTTTATGTCTGGTTCTCCCCCTGCCGCTTCGTCTCTGAGCGTTTCTTTAGTATCTTCACTGTGAACCCAGCAGCAGTAACCTGCTGGGGAAAGTTACAAATGATCGACATAAATTATGTAAAGAGAAATAAAACTGCAAAAGAGCAAAGAGCGGGCTCTTTGTTTCATAATTCATTGTTCTCCAAGATCAAGCTAAATAAAACTTTTTGAGGGAGTGGCAGTCTTGATCATTCTTTATAAACTTCTTTAACATATGCAGAAGGATCTTAATTGCCCACCTTACAACTAAAAATATACATAGAGACACTTGTAGGCATGCAATTCATTTCATCACATTCAAGCAGCATCTTCCCGTTTTAATCATTTTCCATTGGCAGTGGCAAAGCAGTGGATGTTACACTAGCACCACCAGCAGGTAGAGAAAAGAACAGCATGTTTTAGATGCTCTTTCCTCTTTCTCTCCCACTAAGAAGAACAGAGTTGTTAGCTTTGGAAAATCAGGTTAAGATTGTGTCAGTTCGATATCTGAGTATTTATCTTAGTGAACTTGTGCCAGCAAGATCTCTACGATGCCAGTGCAGCATAATTGGTAGGTTTTTGCCAGATGCTGTAGCTGATTTTTCTAACCACGCAGACAGCCAAGGTTTGACTTTAGGTGCAGATGTTTCTGCAGCAAATGTTTTTCAGCAATCGCTCTGTGTCTCTCTCAAGCTACCTGTCTTTCTATCTTTGTGTAACGTCTTCCATCATTCATCTTTCTCCTCTGTCTGAATCCCCTGGCTCTTTCTGTATCTCTTTCTTTCCATCTCCATATTGATTCAGCCGTGACTGAAGGCATTCTCAACCTTTTTCGCCCAGTTTCTTTCAGAAAGGTCAAAGAGCACCATTTGTGATGTTGGAAAAATGGATACGGAGGGGCAGGTGGGTTTTGTTTGCGAGTTGTCTGCGGCCATAAAACAAGGTGCACTTTCAAGAATGGCAATAGCACTTGGTGAGTGTAATAAAAGCAACTTGAGGAGAGGAAGCCAGTTTTAAAAGTGCTTTTACCTACTTAGGAAATATCTGCTTACATGTGCCCTTAATCTTGGACGTTAGATTTGAAGATGCTCCCTTTGAGTTCATGAAAGCGAAATCAAAACGCTTATTTTCACTCAGCCTACGTTCTCTGGGAATCCAGTGAATTTCAGATCTGAGGCTCCGTAGAACAGTTTTGCTCATGTATCGCCTTCCAATGCAACACGACCTTCAAGGACATTCCGCTCATTTACACAGCAATTAAGCACTACCCTATTGGTAAATTGAAAAAGAGACAAAAATCCTCTGTGGATTTAATAACAAACTCATTACCAGGGCCCAACAGGGCGGAACTGCCTTTTAATTAGAGCAACACCTGATTAACGCCCAATTAACAGCGCCAAAGCCACTTAATTCCCCCCACACTTTGGCAGGTTGAGAATGTAAATATAAACAGTCCAGCATCCGAGTGCTTCCTTTCCCTCCTGGGAAGGTGCGAGAGGAAAAGTAAATAATGAATCTGGATTCAATCCGTTGTCTGGTGTTCCAAATACTCTGCAGATCTCCAAAATGAATGCTGTGGATGCATGGGGTAAGTGTTTCGGGGAGGAAACAGATGTAGAGTTGGCAAAGAAAAAACAGTGCTTCACTAGGCATCCGAAATCTGGCAGAGTGATGGCCAGTTGTGTGACTGAGCATCTTGTTGAGCACCTTGCCCTTAGGTTTAGGTTTTTGTTTTAAAGATTGATACCCATTTAAATGTTTAGTCTTTCTCTTTTGCAGGTCAACTGACTTTCACCTCAAGCAGACAAAGTTTTGTTAGATGAATACTACAGAAAGTGACAGAACAGATTCAGCACAGCTGTGTCAAAGAATTTGTTCTATGAGAGAGGATTAAAACCTAGCCAGCTGTCTGCCCCTCTGATACTTAGATTTATTAATCTCAGGATATTTCAACACTGAATTTGTAGTCCACTGACAATGAGACATACACGTATACATTTTTCAGCTAAGCTGAAAGGGCTATTTCCCCCTGTGCTATGCAACTTGAGTTCAAATCTCAAACAATATGGCATGAATTGAAATTACACAAGCACAAGTTTTCAAATGAGTATTTGAACCGTTAGCTAAGATAATCCAACGAGAGGAGTCAAATTATTACACTTGTCAGTGGTAGTGCTAAAGAAGAAGAATACAAAATACATTCTAAAAGTAAGACATCTGCATTGTTTTTAAGGAAGCAGGAAAGCTATGTTTTTGTTTTGGCATGATGTTTGCATTTTCACCAGTATTCTGATGTACTTTCACAGAAAACACATTTACAACTTTGCAACATTTTTTGCGTCAGTTCCATTGTCCTAACTTGAAAATGATCCATGTTCTAAAAACATTAGTCTAACCTCAAGTGTATAAAAGCACAAATCAAGGATCCACACCATATGAAACATCTGTAACCAGGGCCCTAAATTCAGTGGGCAGGTTTACCTGAGGATATTTCTTCTGCTTTCATATGCAAACGTGTACAGTATTTTCTCTTAGAAAATAGTTCACCTTGTAAAAATTGCTAAAAAAACAAAAAACAAAAAAACTTTTATTAATTTTTAGGTCACTTGGACTATTTGTTTAGTCCTTTTGAGAATATCTACTGTGACACATGTCACATACATGTAAATACGTCAGAGTAAATCATTTCAGCGCTGTTAATCCCTTTTTACGACGAGTGCAATGCTGCTGAACAAAGTGAAACAACACTCATTTTTATTTTAACACATGAAGGTTTGTCTGCTCTGAAATCTTCTCACATCTGTGAAGATTTCTTGAAGTGCACTTGAGAAGCCACGAAATGCTTTGATGAAGCTCATTTTAATGGGGAATGCCTAGGGAAAGAAAAAAAAACCCAAGTTGCTGTTCCTCTGCTGCAGTGGAGAGGTCCGTGATAGTTAAAAGGCTTAGAAAATGCATATTACCGGCACCTCAGATCAGAGCCCATGTCAGAACCTGAGAAGAAGGCAAATCTCAACATCCACCCTTTGTAGGAGACTCAGAAGTTATACTTAAACTACTAAAAAGACTCTTTTGAGAAGACAAGAACAGCTTGAGCCAAAAACAACAACAATCCCCTACAGAAACATAATCATTATTTGTTTTTTTTTTTTGTTGTTTTTTGTTTTTTTTCCCCTGCTGGTGTTTACAGTTGTTCTGTTGAATTCAAATGTTTATGTTGCAGATTATCATTTTAGAAAATAATTTTAAAAGCCATGGCTGAGATGGAGTTTCCAAATAAACCCATTGTCTAGTTAGATCCACCTTTTACTTTAGAACTGCCCTATAGCTCTTCAAGGGCATCGATTCAACAAGGCTCCAGAAACATTCCTCATCCCAACATCCCAATTCTTCATATTGACATAAAAGGATTGCAGTGCTGCTGCAAACTTGTCAACTGTCCATCCAGCATGCAGAGCTTATGTTCTCATCCTGTTAGATTGGGATTTGATCCTTCTAGAAGGTATTAGGAGTTTTGTAATATTCTGTTGGAAGTAGCCAACAGAAGGCATGATATGGACACATATCAAATTAGTAAAAGAGGCTCCACTGTGTCCCGAGAAAATATACCTCAAGCTATGACTATCTATTTCCACAAGCTTACAATTTAAACATAAAAAGCATAGGTCAATACTTTTATTTATCTCAAATTTTGACCTTACCATCTGAATATCAAAGCTGTAATTGACCCTCATCAGACTAGGCAATTTTTTTCCAATTAGTCCAGTTAAGTTGAGGCCAGATTCCCCCCCCCCCCCCCTCCCCCCCCCCCAATGGAGAGGAGCTCCATTGACCCAACACTGACTTTTCCTGCTGTAGTGTATTAGCTTGATGTTTTGTACATTCAGAGATGGTATTCCACATACATTGGTTGTAATGAGTCTTCTCTCCTTTTTTTCCAAGGCGCTTTGTTCATTCTCCTGTGACCTCTGACATCAACAACAATTTTTCATGCATAAAACTGCAGATCACCGATTATGCCTCATTTGGATGAATAACTTTAAACATGTTTGGCAATACCAACTATTATCCTCAATTTGAACTTAAGCAAGTTACCTTCACTAGATGCCTAAATGCCCGGAGTTGCTGCTCTTTGTAGAATTTCCACTTGTGTTAACAAATAACTGAGCAGGAATAACTTATAAAGTGGCCTGTGAGTTTATTTGGCAGTCACAGTGTGCAGTACTTATTAAATAGCAGAATATTCTCTGAATAGCAGAACAAAGTAGAAACAGAAGAGTTCAAATTAGATCTCTTTTATTAAAACAACAAAATAACACAACACAATTTTCAGCACCATTTGTTTTAAAGCTTGATTGGCTTACAATAACAAATTCACCGTTCTTTGCAAGAGATTGAAAGTGCTTATACAAAATCAAGTGTTACAGTTCTTAAACAAGACAGCATTTGTTCTAAAGTTCCTCCAGTACATTGCAGCAGTGATGCTTTCAGGGAGCGTCACTGACTGAATTTTTAAAACAGTGTTTATTTTTACTTTATTTTTCTTTTCCGACAAAAAAGCCCGTGCACACCTGGATCTGCTCCAGGCAGAACATCAGAACCTTGCAGTCTTTTCTACAGGTAGTACTGTAGTTCAGGGATCCTCAAACCCAGACCTCGAGGTCCAGTGTCCTGCAGGTTTTAGATGCTTCTCTTCTTCAACACACCTGAGTCAAATAATCAGGTCATTAGCAGGACTCTGGAGAGCTTGACTGCGCTGGGGAGCTAATTCAGCCATTTGATTGAGGTGTTTGAGCCAGGGGCACATCTAAAAGTTGCAGGTCACCTGGCCTCCAGGTCAAGATGTGTGGACCTCAGCTATAGTTCCTTAGTGTCATTAGATTTTATTTCTTTCCGTACTGAAAACAATCTGGAGCTGACAGCCCTCAATCTAGCTGTTTTACCAAGCTAGATGGATTCTCTACCACATCCTTACTTATAAAGTGCATTCAAGGCACTGACATGAACCTTTGAGGAGCCAAAATGCTTTTGTTGTGAACAGGTTTGTAACCCTCACTAACAGGGCTTTTGGTGGCTTCATATCGAGCGGCACTCAATGTCTCCACAGCCTTCTCTAAGTCTGGTATAATGTTCGGCACAACAGCTTGCTCTGTAATAAATACCACTGTCTCCACCACCAGTAGAAGGATCCAACCCAAAGCCCCCAGCCAGTAGGAAAGGCCGAGGCTGGAGAAGTCTTGATCGATAACCTTCCGGTGCTCGTAGGTGAATAAAGACCAGCTCAGGAGGAAGAAGAAACCTGTGGACAGATGGAGTCAAATTAAGCTACATTAGTACTAAAAGAAAAAGACATTACGCTCAAATATTACATGCTCACAGCCTCTAATAAGAGTTTGCATAGTGATGAAACGCAATTTCCCGGACAGTAAAAACTCTCTTTAAAAACTGTTGCCCTGCAGGGTATGCAAATGAGCAATAACATGAAAGGATTCCTGTTGGTGTGGGTCTCATAGGAACTGCATAAACCAAAAGGCTATTTGAAGGTTAGCTGAATGTAGGTGTTTTATGACATATATATATATATATATATCTCAACATTATCAATGTGAAACAGTGCAATATGTGTGTAAGTGGATGGCAAAGCATAAAAGTACAGCAGCTACTCCCTGCTAGTTTGTATTTTTGGGTTTCCTTAATCGTATTGGTTATTATAATTGGATTGAACAACACTCTGCTGTTATTGCACTTAATATTAATATGGCTGAATATTAATATTAATATTAATATTGTGACTGATATGAGTTAGACTATGATGACTTGTTTAATGTTTTTATTTATTTATTCATTTATTTGATGATTTGCCCTGTTTTCCTTTAGTTGTGTGTTTAATATTTCGCTGTTGCTTCTTTTCTTTTTAATTAAATGTCTTCCCTCCCACCCTGGTCACCACCTCTTTGCAATTGGGCTACTTGTAAATGAGATCTATGAAGCAAATGGATAATTTACATGAAGATTAATGTATTGGACGGAATATAATTAATGCATTGGACAGAATATAATTTGTTTTTAAAGTCTTAAGGTTTACTGAAATTACTTATGGTGTGATTTTGTCCTGTGTCAACTATGCTGAGTGGTACTGAATTGAACTGAATTACCTGTGGAGGCCATGGTGAGGAACAGCAAGGTGGTGGGAAAGAGAGCCTGCCCGGCCATGAGGAGAGAGCGGGTGTTGGAGTAGGAGTGCACTGTCTTAGACGTCCAGCAGAGGGCAAACACAAGACACAGAGCTGCGGTGCTCAAAGCCATCAATAAAGAAATGACTCCAAATACTCTCTCTGCCTCCTCTAAAATTGGAAAACACAGAAGATGCAAAATGAAAAATGTTTAGTTAAACCACATTAATAATGATTAACACATGAAAAAGGTTTTCTGTAACAGACACACCAGTTAATGATGCTGTTTAAAAATGTTCCTCAATGGGTTTTGTTCAGATGTTTTAGCTATAAGCTACTATTCTTATAGCTAAGATGTTTAGCTATCTTATAGCTATAAGCTAAACATCTTATGCTGGGCTCATATCCGAGCATATAATCAATGATAATCAGATATGATTTAAAAATATATATTATTAATAAATCTTTCACACTTTTATAACCTTAAAAAATATGTAACATTAATTTTTAGCTTAACATGTCTGTTTAGTAATCAAACTGCTTATCACGTGAAAGCATGAGGCTAGCATGTGCTTTTCTTAAGAGGTAGCTAGTCAGTAAACAACTAATTTAGCAGCTAACCCTACAGTCCTTTGCAAATTTTTATTTTGGTCAAATTACCTCATAAGTAAGCATAGTCCTATTAAACTTTGGATTGTAATTTCCTTTGTTATTTTGTACAGTATAATTCTCATCAAGGGCTAGTGTGATTTCTCAGAGTGAAATGACCATGAAATTATATTATAAATTGTTTTAAATAAATAGCTGAACAAAAAAACAATTATGAACTATCTTCTCCTTTATTCAAATATTTATTCCAACTGCTTAAAAAGAATAGAACACATTAATATACTGTTGCTATATTGTTATCAGTAATGTTTCTTTTGGCTATTTTGCTTTTGGTAAACTCTCATAAAAAAAAAAAAACACAAATATTTTAGTGGCAGTTATTAAGAGTATATTGCGTAGCATATTTTTGGTATTAATTAACCGGGTTATTTTCTAGAGCAGTGAGCTGCTAAACACACATGCTGCTCGTGGCTTAACAGCTGTGTGGCCTGCATTCACTCCGAACCCAAAAAATAAAAGTACTAAATGGAGCCACAGGAGGTTTTGTGTCAAGTTGTATCTACCAGATAGGAGTTTGATGGCAACAGCTGTTTAGTACTGCTACCCTAAGCAAATACAAAACATGGGTCTCTTATCTAGTGCTCTGAAAAGAACAACATCATACGGAGTCTGAAATAATTAAAAAATAAAATTCAACGTGGTTTTCAAACTTTTATGGCATATTTAAGGTTTGAGGTGAGGTAAACATGGCTGATTTAACATCAAAACATTTTTCCAGTACTTTATTTTATTTTTTTCATAAACCATCTCTGTTGTATTTCTATAATTGGTTTGGATAATTCACAGTTCGAGCGTTCTGTTGCTATAAAATCATTTGGAGTTGAACTGGAGTTGAACCTTAGTCTGATCATTTTATATAGTTCACCAGAAAAATAAAGTTAGATCTCAATGACAAAAACGAGTTCCAGCACGTCTCCCTCAGAGCCAGTAATGAGCATCAACAGATGCAAGGATACAATTCTCTGGAACGTTTGCAGGCTCAGACATGTTTACTGCTGCTGGGAAGTGTTTGGACAAATATTCCTCTTCACATTTATCCTCACCAGTGACTGAAAAACAACTATCCAAATCACCATAAGAGCGACTTTCAAATAAGCACCTATGTGCATGTTTATTAAGTTACTCCATTCACCTAAGCCACAGTGACAGGTTTCGACAGATTTCCAACAGACTAAAAATAATTTTTGCTCACCACATAAGGGAATGCCGTTTCCATCCCTCTCCTGGTTGCTGCTGTTATTGTTCCAGATTAACCAGGGTCTTTTGTCTTTCAGCCAGTGTGGTGTGCAGATAGAGTAGCACACACACACACAACCTGCGAGTCCCAGACAGGACTGAGCAAATCTGAAGCGGCCGATGGAGTCTCCCAACTCAAGAAGCTTCATTTTTAACCAGACTGAAAGTGGAACAGAAAGCAGCAGGGATCAATAGCAGTTTAAAAAAGAGAAGCGTTTCAAAGTTAGCATTTAAATCATTTAAAACTGTGTGAACTTACCTTGCTTGCTGGTAGAATAGATTGAAGAGTGAAGATGTGAAGTTTAGGTGAATGCTACTGTACCTACACAACCGTGCGAAACCCCTTTCAACAAGTTGGTATTGTGTTTTCACTGCTGGTGACTACAAGCCCTCTCTGACAGATGAAATCTTAGTGTAGCTCCACCTCCGCTGCAATGGAAACTCCCCTCGTCAGTTTAGAAATTTCCCCTAGAGTTCTCCACTGAAACCCACTTTAGAGAAAGTAAAAGCTGCTATTTAAGGAAACAGACCTTGATTTGTTATTAGAAAACAGAAATTAAACATTTAAGGGAAGTTTAAAGATGAGTTGAAAATCTGGGGAAACTTTGTAGACACAACAAAAATGGGAATAAGAAAAAAAAATGGCAATAATTTTCTTTAGCGATGTAACATTTTGACACCCCCCCACACACACACACACACACTCTACAAGTGTGGGGGGGTTGTCAACCGCTCATTATGCATGACAACACATAAGAGGAAATCCCACTCTCATTTGTTACAGTGGATGACTGTATTGACGCTGAACGCGTAGGTGACCTAAGAGGTCTCTCCTCCTCGTCACGTAAATACCACCCTTTCTTTTTCCTTTGTTGTAACGGAACGGCACCCACAGCCCACCCAAACAAAAACTTTCAACAACTTGATACTGATTAAGTTGCAGGTTAAGAAAAACAGGTGCATCCAAATGTCACCAAAAAGTTTTTTTTTTCTTTTTTTTTTTGTATTTCAGTAATCCAATTCAAGTGGAACTCTACCACACAGATTCAATTCACACAGAGTGAAATATTTCACACAGAGTGACATATTGATTGAAAATGTATTTTCGATCAATTGTTGCTGCTTCTTATTGTCAGAAATAACTCCCACAATAATTAAAATTAGAAATAATTTGGTGACACTTTGACGGGGTGTGCATAAGACTGACATGACTCTGTCATAAACAGGACATAACACCTGCCATGAACATGAAGGAGTCTTTATGAATGTTTATGACAGTTGTTATTAAGTGTCATTTGGTAAATAATGACATTTTTAATGCAACGTTGCTCTAAAAGTTGCATTAGAAGTTAAAAGTGTCAACATTTAATTACTTTGTAAATAATGACACTAATGAAAATCGGGATTAACTTTTAGAGCAACTTTGCATTAAAAGTGTCATTATTTACCAAATGACGCTTCATGACAACAGTCATAGACATTCATAAAGACTCATTTGTGTTCATGACAGGTGTTGCCATGTTTATGACAGTGTCATGTCAGCCTTATGCACACCCCATCAAAGTATTACCAAATTATTACCAAATTAATTTTAGTTATTGTGGGAGTTATTTCTGACAATAAGAAGTAGCCACAATGACCGAAAATACATTCTTGAAATACGTCACTCTTTGTCAATTAAGTGTTACCAATAATATTTATAGACATATCACACTGAGATAAATATGAGTTTCACCTTTTGAATTGAATTGCTGAAAGAAATGTTTTGAATGATGACATATTAACATGCACCTACGGACAATATTTGTGTGTTTTTTCATGGAAATGATAGAAAACCATGTGCATAATTTAATCCTTTATTCACAGATAATGGACAAGTCATTCTGATTCATTTAATGGTGAGTGAAAATAGAACTTGACTGTTTCTGGTTGACTTCCATTTGGTACTTACTTGGATTCTGAGAAATTCAACATTCTCACTATAGCTTACCAAAAAAAAACTATCTTTCTCAGAGTAAGGCGTCAAGATGGTGGGGGGGGAATATGTTCCTTTTCATCCATCTGTCCTGGCCTTTCATCCACCTCTCTGCTTTATATCATTCACTGCTGATGTAAGCTGAGGCAAGCATCAGATATGACCCAGAGTCGGATGTCTTTGTCAGGCTTTTCAAATTAAACACAAGTGGGAAGAAGGAAAAAAAAAAAAATAAGCACTGCCTCTTGAAATCTTTGGCAGTCGCATTCCTGTCTGTTTATCGAAAGCTTACTTTTTGGCTCTTTGCAGCAGAGACTTGAATACATCAAGAATTTCTGGATCCTCCCCATGAGACAGCACTGGAGTGTTCTTCTCCAGCCAATCAGACGAACGAATCTGATGCCTGAGAGTACCAATAAGGGAGTCCAGACCCTCTGCAGCCTTAGATTCTTGGCAGTCCAGCAAAAAAAACTCCTCTGCGCCAAGCAAGCCTGTGTCAGGAACAGGGCTATCCCTCTCCTTCAGCTGGTCTGATGACTTGCTCTGGGGGGACGATATTGAATTAACAATAGAAGTGTTGTCTGACTCATCACCCTCCTCTTTTTCTGTCTTTTTACCCCCGTCATCAGTTTCTTTAATTGAGCATGTAACACAGCTGGTGTTCTTTTCCTTGGTTTCTTTCAAAGCCTCCTGAATTCGCTTTAGGCCTGAAAAGACATAAAACATCATTCTTATTCATCTTTCATTTTATATTAGTTGCAGCCACAGTTATCACTGTATGCTATTGGGGATTTATTTACTCAACCACAACAAAGAAGTGCATAATTGTAAAGAGGAAGGAAAATGGAAAGATATTTCTTTGTGTGCTCATAAAGGTGTGGGTGAATATGCGGTGAGCTGCCTTTGAATTTGAAATGCCACATTAAAACCCAGTGAATCCAGATGCACTCAGGGTTCATTTACGCTGGCAAGTGGAGCATTAATTTAAGAACTGACCAAGATGGTCAAGGTAATTCAGGAGGAGCTGCAGAGGTCTACAGCTCAGGTGGGACAAATCTGATCTTCATGGAACAATAGCAAGAAGAAAGTCATAGGAAAATTTGCCACAACAACAAGGGCAACACAAAAGACAGATGTGGAGGAGGATGGTTTTATCAGATGGGAGAAAAACATAAGGCCCTGGGCTGCAGGGAAGAGGACATGCATATCGTCCATCTCCACAGTGAAATATGGTGGCGGCAGCATCATGATGAGGGCATTCCTTTCCTCAGCAGGGACAGTGAAGACAGTCAGAGCTGATAGAATGTACTTTTTTGCAGCTCCATAAACAGGAATTTAAAAGAGAATTAAAATATTTTTTCGAGAGATAACAAGATAAGCGATGCTTACAAAAAATAACTGACTGCTCACATTTTTTAAAGGTTCTATGTATCAGTAATATTGACTTTGCATTTTTGTCACATAAAATAGAAAACACAGCAGCACGGTGTTTCTTTAGTTCATAATTTTTTTTAGTTTTTTTTTTTTTTTTGTACATTCATCTTAAGGTCAGACCAAAGCATTTCAATTAGTTTGAGGTCTGAGCTTCGAAAGGGCCGTTGCAGCATCTTTTCTTTACTTTTCAAACTGTAAATTTTATGTTTTTAATCATTGTTTATCGTCTAATTTTAGAAAGTCTTCATCTGTTGGTCAGATCTCCTCATTTTTGACTTTAGAATACTTTGGCAGAAAGGAGTTTAGAGTCAACTCACTGACTGCAATGTTCTCAGGTACTGTGGCTGTGAAACCAGTCCAGATTGTCTCTCCTCAACCAACCAGTTTAACAGCTATTTGACATGTTTGAATATGCTTTGTTTGATTCTTACTCAACATGACTGTACTTTGGTCTTCTTTAACCTTTTTTTGTTTTGTTTTGTTTTTTTTGTTGTTTTTTTTAAGAAAGAAAAGTCTTTCTTCTGGGAACTCTTCCAAGGAAGTCCCAAAATTTGCATATTTAGTATGCTACGTGAGTCCTGTGAAGCATGACACTGGGTCCTTTTCTTTTTTTTTTTTTTTAATTGCCTGAGAACTGTATGATTTGGCCTTGGGATAAATCTGATTGAACTTCCACTCCTGGAAGATTCCCACATGTCTCAAATTATTTGTTTTTCCCTTATATGTCACTCGAATGATGGACATCAAATTGTTTATAAATGCCTCTATAACTAGGACAATAGGCAGCAACAGCTTCTCACAACTGTATGCCCCAGAGCAGCAAACTGTCAGACCTCACGGGTTTATGGAGGCGGTCACACACATACGGATCAGTTAGCAGGAACTGGCAGCAACTTCTTCCTCCTAAATGTTAGGGAAGAATCAGGTGTGCTTACGTTATCAGTGTTTCCATTTTGGCTTTTTAGCTTCTGTTTAATGAATAATGACAGCATTTAATCTGTTGTGTATGTTTGCACATTTGCAAATACATTTAGACTGTTTCTTGATCCATGTAACACTGTACCTGAAAGAGTCTGTACTTCTTTTGTTCCACGGCTGTATGCAGTATGTATGTTTTCTTTTCACATTCCGTAAATTATAGAGCTGAAATATTAATGGGTGTGCCTATCCGTTTTTACTAACACAGTGTCCAGGGTGTTTGAGGAGTATCAGTATTAATATGCTTTTGAAGAAACAAACAAACAAACAAACAAAAAAAAGCTCATGAGACTGACCGAGTTGAAGTTGGGGTTGCTGATCTGCAAAAACGATTCTGAACCATCCGGGTGTGGAGCATGAGAACGCCTGGCCACAGCTCAACAACACTTTGTGTCTGAGGAAACACCTCCATAGAGACAGCTCTTCCTCAAACGATGACTTGTTCAGATACTTTGGGACAATAAGTCAGAAGAGAACTTTTAGAATAACATACACACACACACAATGTTTTCAAGCCTGAGAGAAAATGTGAATCTCTGCAGAGATAAGGGTATTACAGACAATGACTCTGCAGCTTGTGTTACCTTTCTAAGGTCAGCCCAGACATACAGGGCAGCAGGTCTATCCAGGAAGGGGATACCTAGGCTTCGCAGCTCTCTGGTCAGGAGGCTGTGAGCATTTTTCAGCCTGCGTCGGTTTTCAGGCAGAAATTCATTGTTGATCCAGTCTGCACAGTCACAACACATACAGTTATGTTACTACTCTTTCTGCAACTTAATGTTAAACAGATCTGCATATTACTACGAGAGAAGAATGGGTAGATTAAACATTTTGGGATATTATGTAAATGTGAATTGGATCCTTTAGACATTTTCACAACATAGATGATGCTATTTATCTGGCAGGAGTTTTTCAGTCAGTATCGGCGAATATTGGTAGCAGCAGCACCATGTACATGTGGAGTACCACAAGGCACTATTTTAGTCCCCATGTTTTCTTGATAAACATTGCCTGAGTTCATTTTTTAGAACTACCACATACGGTATTCTGCCACTGTTTTGTGGACGATCTTCAAATCTGAAGACGAGAACTGTTGAATCACTGAAAAACATATACGTTGTGTTAATGATATTTTAAAAAATCATTCAAAATTCTTTGATCTTCATGACAATAAATCAGAAGCAATCTAGTTTCTGAGGTTAGACACTGTATTTCAGTCCTAACAGTAATTCATGCATTTGCTATAACATCGAACAGACTGGGGTAAATATTTCCATCTGAAGCTGACAGGAAGCAGGAAGTCGGAGCATATGCCCCCAGTGGTCGCCTCAACTGGCTTCCTGTCATGTCATGAATGATTTTAAGACTTTGTGTGTGTTTTTTTGTGGTTCTTATACCCTGTCTAGTCTGCAGAGTCTTTTGAAGCATCTTGTTTAATCTAGAGCACGCAGTCAAGCAACCAGATACTTATAGATGTGTTAAAAGGCAAACTAACAAGCTTTTATAAATTGTAATACACTTTTATAAAAGGAAATATTTCTGTGAAAATATACAAACGCATTTTTGATCAAATCATTGTCAACTATTATCTGTTCAAACACGAACTTGTGAGTCTTGGCTCATACCTCTGT